TTATTACATCCACATGATTAACATTTATTACATCCACATGAGTAACATTTATTACATCCACATGATTAACAATTATTAAATCCACATGATTAACAATTATTAAATCCACATGGACACAGTTAAATAAAGGACACAAAGTTGTGCCAAAAATACATTTAACAGGAACAGATTCAGCTTTACTGGAGGATATAATAAATAGTGTAACAAAACATTTATTTATAAACAGATAAATTTTCTGATGACGAGTGGCTCATCAGCCGTTTTGAGGAAAAATCATTTTTCAGTTTGGCACTGCTGCGCTCTGGGAGCGCGACGCAGCAAGTTGCCGCGTGCACCATGCGTGCACCATGCGTGCACGTGCAGCAGCAGCGATTGAACTGGGGTTCCACAGGAGCTTTCCAGAGGGTGCTGGCAGACCCATCAGGACTCAGTCCAGTCCACCCAAAGCTGAATCATGACCAACGGAATCGTCTCATCCATCTGATTCTAAAGGCTGAGTTATGGTCGCGCTCTGGAGCGCACGCACCCTCGCCGGCAGTGGAGGTGTTTCATACTTTGCTGTAGATTTCTCCAAAATGACACGTGGAAGTACACTTTATAACTTGTGAAAATGGCGTAAGTAGGAGAGCAAAAGCTTGACAGACAAACAGACTGCGCACAAAGGCTGCAGCGCGCGCATGTGTGGACTCTCCAACATCACGTCATGTGAACTCTACTGAGGCGCAGAGACTCGTTTCTTAATATCAGCTATGAAATAAACTAAGATCTATGTTCTACCAAACATTTACTGTAAGTTCCTCTGTGTTTACAGTAATTATGGTAATAAACTCGTGCGCAAAGTTAATATTTTCACACTCGGAATGGATGGAAGAGCCGGTTGCACAACACAGCAGTGTGCGCACACACACACACCAACACACAATCACTCGTTTTTTGCATGATAAACATATTTTATTCCTATTTTTACTTAGGATTTTTTTTCTCACTCACTTTATATTAAATTCATTATTTTCCTGACTTTAGAAATCATTTCTGATCGAGCAGGGATCACTCAAACATGTCCGTCACACATGCAGGAATTAATTTGCATCTGTTTAACATATGTTAATGAAGGCGTGTCAGGGGAGGTGTCTC